CTGCTGAGTGTCACGTAACTAATGAGTGCAGCTCCCCTTGGTTCAGTATGGTTCAGTTCTCTGTGAAATGTGTAGTCCACTGGCCCAGAACTGTTTTATTTCCTGGATGCTCCTAAAAACCATTCCTTGCCTCATCTGGAGCCTGTGAAGTACTAACCATCCTTTTCAGGCTGAGGGAAACCAGCTCTTACATTTTTGTAATGTTCTCTTTACATCTTATCCAGCCTAAACCTACAGTCCCCTTTGACTTTGGGTTCTCTTACTGAAATAGCAAGAAAATGAGCTGGCCTTGAGGACCCTGACCTGACCCCTGTCTGGGGTGAGCACCACCTCAGGGACCCCCCACTGCTGCCTCGCTGGCTTCAGGCCTCCTTGCTTGTCTGGGGAGTGGAGAAAACGTTACTGTGAAGAAAGGCTGCATTAGATTTTAGAGAACAAGAATCTGTGGTAGCAGTGGAGAGGTTCACCACAGAGCAGGACTTGGTGCTGTGGATACTCACAAGCTGGAGTGGGGAGGAAAGCAGAGAAGGCAGCAGTGCTGCAGTCTGTGTGAGTTCCTGTGCATGTGCCTATAAAGCTGCAGGAAGAAAGGCAGCAAGTGTGTGTTTTCTAGATGTTGAGCAGTCACTGTGGTAACTATATAAATTCTAGCAAGTGTGTCAGTCAACTGGGTTAGTGAATCTGTGGCTGCACGTGACACACTTTGCAAAATTAATGAACATGCTTTCATGAATGATTTATCCTGACATCTAAAGGTTAAAGTGTCTTGAACTAAGGATGCTGAGGGGTGCTTTTCTATATTGATCCATAAATAATTAGCTGTTTGTAATTAGTTAAAGATTCCCTATCAGACACTGAGCTTGGGGAACTTCTCTGGCTTCACATTATTTGTTGTGGGATTTTGGTAGCCTCAGACCTGCTCAGGCATTTTATCTTCACTGGGAGAAGGGTAGAAACATCTCCTAGCTCAGCTGGTCCATCTTTTATTAAAGGTATGTGAGAGGTCTCCTCTGAGGCCAATGAAAGAGTGAGCAGATTGCTGGAGAAATGCAGATGAGAGAAGGGGTGTCCTTCCTCCCCTTCTACTGCAAAGCTGCTCAAAGCTTGATCTGTGCCTCATGCAGCTGCAACAGGGATTTAGAAGTTGCACAACTCCCCTAAAATCTCCTTCATTTTTCTCTCTTTTAAATCTACTTCTGTCTTGATCTGTAAAAAAAACACTTGTCAACCCAGCCAACCAGGAAACTAAAAGGGAGGAGAGATGCAGGGTTTATACTCACAATCTTGGAGCATTCCACAAATTAAGGATTTTCTGAGTTAAACAGGCACCAGAACCTTTTCCTAAAAGAAACTGATGCAAAAGAGGAGTGTGTATGTTTGGGGGTGGGAGAGAAAAGAGCATCATAGAGCTCTGAGGTCGTGGCCTTTGGAGAGCAAAAGGTGACTAATGTCAGTATGAGGGTTTTCCAATTGCAGGGGGCAGTCAAGAGCATAAACAGCAGCAAGTGGAGCTAGCCTAGGGGGAAACAAAGCCATTTGTTTTTGGAACGTGGCCAAGTTAATGCTGCATAGTGTGAGCACAGAGAAGTGCTAGTGCTGGTAGAGGAAAAGCAGTCCAGAAAACCAGCTGGAAAAGTATGATGCACAAGAGATTGCAACGTGAGTCTGGGGGAGGAGAGGGGCTGGATGTCAGAGTGGGTTCTGGAGAGGAGGCTGAAGAGCATCTAAATCACTGGGAATTTACAAGTGAAACATTTCTCAGAATTTTCATATTCTGTTTTTCTTCTCTTTTTGTTGTTGTTATTGTTGTTGTCATCAGTCTGTGCAGATTTAAGGAGTTCATACAGGCTGCCTCTGTGCAGGAAGCAGTCCAAGAATCTCAGAAACAGAGGGTGTACTTGGTGCTGCTGGGGAAATTGTTAGGTTTTACTTGCTTGCAGGAAAAATAACTGGCCATACTCCATACTACTGTGGCTGCTCAGTCTCTCTGTGGTCAGTTTCCTTGAGAGAGACATTTTTATTTTCTTTAAAATTCAATATAAGCCTCTCTATACTCTTCTAGTATCTATTTTTCATACTAATAAAATTGTCTGGTTAAGCCACAGCAAAATTATACCAATTAATCTAAAACTTGGAAGGCTTAACAGCATTGCAGTACATGAAGGGAGAAGGTAAAATATCAGAAAACATGGAGAAGACAATTCATCTAGGTGAGCTGCATTAAGCTGAGACCTGGAGGCTGGCAGACAACCTCCCTTCTCATTCCAATTTGTTTCACACATTCTGTGCCTGTCTGAGCCAAACCTGAGTGTCTGCAAAGTGCTGAAAGCATCTGGCGAGTCAGAGACTATTTGCTGTTGTTCCTGGGGCTCCAGTATAAAAATGCCCCTCTTGGTAACCCTGTGGATGAACCCTGAAAGCTTGTGAAATCTGAACAGAGGTTGTTTTCAAGTCAAGGCACAGGGAGTTGCTACCATAAGCAGTTCTGCAGGGCAGTAATTGCTGAGTTTGGCCATTGAGTGAGAAGAAAGGAGGAGGTGGTGAAAAAGAATTAATTAGCCTGAGAAATACTTAATTTCTAACTTTCTCAGAAGTTGTTACTTTTGTAACAGTTGTGGGGCTTTGTAGTTTTCTTGTTGTACAAATTATGGTTGGTGGCTTTGTTTTGCTTTTCCTGCTGTGCCTGGCAGTTTGGACCATTGAAAACAATGTTTTCAGCTGAAGGCCTTACTCTTTGTAAGGGCTCAAGGTGGGAGCTAGAGGCTCAGGATACAGTAACAGACACCAGACCAACAGCTTTAGTGATCAATAATTTATCTCTTAGTAATGGTACAGAAACAAATACAGATCAGCAGTACAGTTATCCAGTTCAGAACAACACTAAATCCAGGAATTCACCAATACTGGGCTGAATTGAACAGCCAGGCACAGAAAGGCTTTGTGATTGCCTTGGGTGTGCAGGGTCCTGGGGATATTGTGTAAGAGAATTGGAGCCTCACACCTCTCTAGTGTGCACAGGGCATGAAAATACTGTATAATGCAGCAACAGCCCCTCGCTGGATACTATTCTTGGTCACTGAACAGTTTGTGCTTGTGTGTGTTGTCCATTACTTTGGGGATCTGTAGGCCCTGTAGTCTCTCCCATGTTTGTTTTATGATGATAATGATGCTCTGATATATTATACTAAGCAAACAATTCTTAAGAGTATTAACTGTAGTCTTTCTGTACTTGTGTTTTAGCTGGAAGAGGAGAGATCAGTACTCAATAACCAGTTATTAGAGATGAAAAAGAGGTAAGTTGTTTTTTCTGATGGGTTTACCTGTGCAGTCCTACAGAAAACTTCAGAAAACAATGCAGAAACAGTGCTACAAAAAAGCAATTATTTTTGGAAATGTAATTGTATTAATTGAAGAACATGTTAAGCAGTGGTATTTGCCCATCCCCTCTTTAGTTCTGCACCTCTTGTGTTGTAGTTCTCTTCATTTTCAGTACCCAGTTTAGTGTTTTGGTTTAGTCTGCCCTGGAATATACTGGGTTGTCCATCAGTCTGGTAAATGTGTGCATACAGATCTGACCCATCCAGTTTTCAAGGAATAATGGAAAAGTACAGTTATGATAAGGATTGTTAGTGTGAATAAATAGATAAAAGCAGTTATTCAGCCTTGTATGGATTGTTCTTCTAGTCTGGGGATATTGAGTTTATTGTGGCACTAGTTACTGCAGTTCATTCAGCAATGTTTTTAAATGCCAGGACATTTGTCCTGGGTGACTGGGGCACCATTTCTAAACTGTGCTGTTCAGCAAATGGCCCAAGTTACAAAATTTCCTGTCTTTCTGCAATATATATGTGTGGAAAGTTAATGGGCTGAGTGCCAGTGTCTTCAGGAAAATGTGGGCTTTTCAAAAGCAGTTATGTAAATGCTCAGAGAAAGATGCAGCTCTCCATGACACCAAGTGTGTTCCAGGAAAACCAAACAACCCCCTGTTAAATTTCCTGCATTAATAATGGTTGCTACAAAGAACAGTGAGTGGCACTTGGGTATTTGTGCACATCCTTGGCTACTCAGCATTAGACACAGATCCCTTTTTTATTCCCTAATAATCTGTTACTTGGGAGCTGGGTTCACATCAGGTCAAATCTCTAGGAGCCCTTTTCCTGCCTTCCTCCCACCCGCAGGGATCCTCTTCCTCTATTTTAGCAATATTCCAGCAGGAGTGACAGGAGTTGGCTGTTTGTGGGTCGAGGGGGGTTGTGTGCAGCTGCAGCTGGTGAGGCTCACCCTGGGTTGCTGACTTGTCTGACTGTCTTTGAGCTTGCGCTACTTATCGATACTCATTTCATTCCTCTCTCTTCCCTCTCCTGCCCTTGCCTCCCCTGCTATATCTGTGTGTCTTTCATGGTAAGACTCAAGAAAGTCTATCCACGTTACAATAAATAATTTTTTTTTATTTTTTTTTTAAAGTAAAGTTGTTGTACATATTTTGGCTGCCTTTGTCCCTTGGTGTCTTGCTTTTGTTTTGTAAAACACTCAGCAAAATATCTATATCTGTATCTATATATTAAAAAAACCCAAAAAGTTTATATTTTTTACCAGAACAAAAAAGCCCCTTGGTGCAAATTTAGTTCTTCCTTACAGTATTTTGCATTTCTACTCCATGTTTCTAACATGTGGTTCTTGTTATCTTGCATTTTTAAAGCTTGCCCAGTAACACTTTAAGGTATTTGCTTCATTCTTAGAATTTCTTCTTTTTGTAGTAAGGGAAGAATCTGGGTGATATTTTTAATGTTAAAACCAACCAAAAACTTCTGTCTCCCATGACTACCACACACTGCTCAAAACATGGTTTAGCATTCTCAAGAAAGTGACATTTTAAAATGGCTTGTGAAATTACAGGCATTTTTATTGTTGTTTTTCTCTGGTCCCTGCTGGCAAACAGATTATTTCAGACTTGAATGGGCAAAGAAAAAGTTTAAGTTCACTGAACCAGTATACTTCTTTTTTTTCCCTGATAAAATAAACACTTTCTACAATATTTTTCCTGCAAGTTATCACTGTGTAGTTATTTCTCATTCAACATAAACTCCTTATGGTTACTCTCTCCTATCAATCATCCTACAAATGATGCTGCAGCTGAGAGCACCAGTGGGGCAGCCTCTCTGCTGATGCTGGAAGCAAACTGTGATCTACACTAAACATAAGTAAGTAGTAAAATACCTACTAGATTTGTAGGTCTTCCAGTCTCAGTGTTCCAGAGGGCCTTCCACTGGAGCTGTCAAGTGTGGTTCCTGGAGAGACTGCCCTGTAAAAGGAAAAAACAAAACAATGCTATAGTTAGAAACCTTTTTTTCCCCCTCCCCTCTTCGTTTTCTCTCCTCTTTTTTCTTCTCTTGTTTCCCTCCCCTTGTATTACAGCATGCCAGACCCTTATCTTGAATTTGCAAATATATATTTATATATGCTCACAAACCTGCTTGCCTTTTTCAACCACCTAAAATGCTTGTGGTGGTTGAAACCAAGCCAAACAAATGGCGAATTTACCGTATTTGCACAAAAAAAAAAAGCATTATGTTTGGTTTTCAGCTCCCAGATGAAGAGCTAACCAAAAAGTGGAAATATTGGCTAAATAAATAACAAGGTGCTGTAGGTGAAGGCTGCCAACAGAGCACAGGTGCCCTCCCAACACACTTCATGGGCAGCTGTGCTCTGTTGGCAGTGTCCTCTGTATTGGTGACACATTTCTGTCCCACACCACCACCTTGCTCTTTGTATCCCCTTCAGCAAAGCATTGAAAAGCCTGGGTTAGGCTTGAGCCTGCATGTAATCCTGCTGGAGAACACAGGGATTGCTGGCATGCTTGGAGGGCTTTGCTGGCTCGGGGTTGGTGAGGAGATTTGTTCAGTGCTGTTGCCCTTTTTGGGTTTTGTTCACAGGAGTTTTAACGTGTGTCTGAAGGCAAAGATGGCACAGGCTGCACCTTGTTGTGTTTCTGCTTTAATTAATTCTCTCATTGTGAAAATATACCAAACACCAAATCAACCTTTTGGTACTTGTTTGGTAGCTGCATTGGTTTTTCTAAACCCCAGATTCTCCACTTGCTGCTTCCATTCCCAAGTATAATCTTTAACAATGAAAGAATTGGATTAATTGTGCTCTCATTGTTGAGTTTCCTATTTATCTGGAGTGGGTGAGATTTCTTGTATTTCATGGTCTGAGTATCGTGGCTCTCACTAACTGTAGATACTGTGGATATGAAAACTTTTCCCTTTGGCTTTAATTGGTGTCCCCTACCCACTGAACATTGTCACACAAAGATGTCTTCTGCTCTTGATCCTTGAGCAGTCCCAAGAGACTATAGTTTTGGTTAATTACTTAACTGAAATTGTTATCCCACACCTGAGATGCTTGAAGTATCAGCCACTTTGTGCTCTCTGCCCAGTTTGTCTCCAGCACTCCCAGCCAGGGAGGGGAGCAGCAGTCACTGCTGTGGCAGTGAGACTGATCATCTAAACCTAGATGTGTGGAATCCCATAGTAAACTGGCTACACAAGCAGAAGCTCAGGGCACTGACAGGTGGCTGTGGGCACTGCTCAGTGCTCTGCACAGCAAGTTTCTCTCCTAGATAAGTAAGCACAGATTTCAAAGTGATAAGAATTTGTATTATTATTCTTTATAAACTAAAACCTTTCAGCTTGTCAGAAACTTCTGTAGCAGTAGTTCTCATACCAGAGGGCAGTGACTTATCTGGGTGTGCTGTGTGAACTAGCAGGAAGACTTGTTAGCATCATTGTGAGGAGGTCCTGGCTGTGATGCCTTAACACCCCTGTCAGGACAGAATCAACTCTTACAGCTTTTACTGGATCAACTGAAAAGGCTGGGAAAACTGGACATCCCTACACAGAGTAGGCTGTGCCTGCTCTGGAGGTTTTCTTTTAAACCCTTCTTCTATGAAGCAATACAAATCTCACATGGTTTTGTGTTGAAACAGTAGTTGTTGAAGGCCTAGAAACTCCAAGTACGTGTTTCAGGAAATAATGATGTCACTGAAATTAGTGAGGACCAGCTGATATTTCCAGCATCATCAATGCTTTGCATGACAACCTGTATAATGAGCTTTGCATGTGTGTTTTGTTGCTTGTTAATGATTTTCAAGAAGTAACAAAACTCTGAAGTTAGGTTTTGTGGAACATTGTGCAATGTGTTTGTTTATCCTGTATCTCCCCAGTCTATTAACTTGCTTCTTTAAATTGAAATGGCTGCGATGATAAGCAGATTCTGGCATGTACTACCTAGGTAAAGTTTTTGCTTTGTTTCCACAGTTTTAACATCTGAAATGTTTACACATATATAAAATCTTAGTGTGAAGTACAGCACTGAAATTTGCTTTTTTAAGAACCACTTCTTAAAGTAGTCTAATACTTGAAATTAAACTAAATTTCTTTAGGTGGTTACAGTTATCTATTCTTTAGATGACTTCTGGTTGTGTTTGGTTTTCTTTTAGAGAATCAACACTAAAAAAAGAAATTGATGAAGAGAGAGCATCTTTACAAAAATCCATCAGTGTTACTAGTGCCTTGATCACAGAAAAAGATGAAGAACTGGAAAAACTCAGAAATGAGGTAAATGAGGAACAGTGGGGGTGCCTCTTAATTTCAGATTAATTTATGGTGGGGAGTACATGGGTTTATGTGCTTGCTACTGAAGAGCTCGCTCATTCTTTTTTGTTACTAATTTATTAGCTGGTTACACCTAAGAGTTAAATCTTCAGGTATCTGTGCCTCCTTAGGTGACTTTTAATGTATATTTTTGGTGGCTCTTTAGTCCTTAATCCTAAGGATGTTGCCATGGTGCTCTGACTTCATTCTGGAAGGCCTGAGCATTCTCAAACAAAATTCTTACAGATCACTGTCCTCCGTGGAGAAAACGCTTCTGCAAAAACGCTGCAGTCAGTGGTTAAGTCACTGGAGTCTGATAAACTGAAACTTGAGGAAAAGGTGAAGAACTTGGAGCAAAAACTCAAGGAAAACAACGAACAGCCTTTAACTGTAACTAGCTCCTCAGGTAAAGGAGAGAGCCTCTCCACTGCCCCTGTGCCTTCAGCTTTACTCTGGTAGATTTTTGCCACCCGGACTAGAAACTGTCACATTGTTTCAGTCTCTGACTCATAGTTTCATAATTTAGATTACTTGATACTTACACTTTCTTTTGTGTGTTTTTCTTTAAAGGTGACACTGCTGCTAATCAAGATGAAATTGCACAAGAGAAGCAGGTATTTGATCTGAAAGATCAGCATGCTAAAACAGCAGCATGTCTATTGAGTGAAATATTCTTCCAAAGACAGTTCCTCATCAGATTTACCTTGTAACCTTCTGCTTCTGAAGGAACTACTAATGGCAGGAAATACTAAGAATCAAGGAATGAGTGATACTGGAGAAGTAGTTCAGGTTACTGGGACACAAGGAAGCAAGCAGGAAAACATGGGTGGCAAGTTTTGATCTTCAGCTTGTTGGTGAGGTACAGCCCAGCAGAGCAGACTCAGAAATTGCTCCTTGCTGTTCTTTCCAAAGGTTTATTGGATGTGAACAAGGAATAAGTTGGGGCCCACCTGGATCTGTGGTGCTTGCCACCTTGGAGAAACCGGGTACTTGAGCTCAGGTGCTACTTTGGAGCTTCTGCAGTTGAAAATATTAGTATTTGCTTCTTAACTGCAAAACTTTCCTCAGAATCAGGGTTGGCAGCAGTGGGGCGAGGAATTTGCTCAGTTTACCTGTGACAGGAAAAAGGGGCATCAGAGAGTGTGGTAATAGGAAGGAACATGGGACGTGCTGCTGTGTCACAGGCAGTCAGTGACAGCAAATGCCCAGGAAACATGGGCAGAGCAGAATCACCTTCTGCTTGTTCTAGAAGTCCTTGTTAGAACACTGATGTCAGTCATAGTGATGAAAATATGTCCTTCCTTGTCTGTTTGGAGACCAGAAGCAGCACAATTAACACACACTAATCACCAATCTTTTTTTTTTCTGCCTCCTTGAATTCACCTGCTGATGGCAACACTTCCTTCCAAGCAGCACGAGGTTTGTTGCACTTCTTGTCTTCCTTTATTTTACTCACCATGTCCATTTGCCAGGCATTCCTTGATCACACTCAGCAGAGCTGCTGCAGAGCTGGCCTGCTCACCTTTGGGGCCAAAACCAGCTCTGGGAGATGCTGTCCAGGTGTGCTGGGCTGTCCCTCTGCCCCTTCCAGGACAGCTCTGAGAGCATCCACCAGAGCTGCAGGCTCACAGGGACAGAGATGCTGTTCTGATCAGAATTACACAGCTGGATTTATGTTCCAAATGGAAGATTAGAAAAAGAGTTCAATCTGGTGGGCTGAGACCCACCCATGTCTCAGAGGTGTTGGCTGGGCAGAACCATTTGGCTCCCTGGATGAAAACCACACTGAGGGTCTCCAGGATCCCTTGGAAGCTCACGGGTGCTCTCTGTAACACACAGATCCAGTGGTGTCATTGAGTGTTGTTCCTTTGTTGCTCACAGTCCTCACCTGCTGACTGTCCTTGTTCTTGGCTACTATAGATTGACTTCCTGAACTCAGTGATAGTAGATCTGCAGAGGAGAAATGAAGAGCTGAACCTGAAAATACAAAGAATGTGTGAAGCAGCCCTCAATGGCAACGAGGAGGAGATAAATAACTATGACAGGTATAAATCCTAGAGGAAAAACTTGGCTTGTGTTTTGGGAGGTGTTGGTTCTATCAGCTGCACCCTGCCTGATTTCAGCTGTCAGGAAGGACAAATGAAGCTTTTTCTTGAACTTAGGGTGAATTAATCCAGCTTTCTTTTTTAGATCTGTTACTGTGGTGTATCTGGTGGTGCAGAGTGATCCTCTGTAGTTACCAACCACAAGCACTGATGTAACATTTGTTGTTAAGTCTTGGTCGGATCTGGCCCTTTCCAAATTAAGTAGAAGAGTCTTTGCTCTTGAGAGGCTGGTAACTGCATGGAGGTGGGGAGATCAGTCCAGAGAAAGAGCTTAAACCCTAATTGATACATCGTGACTTCATATCTCTTATCTCAAGGGGAAAAATAGTTTACATGTGTTTCTTTTTAAAATAATATCCGTATTTGTGCAGTTTGTTTAGTAGATATTATAGTAGAAGGGATTATGGGTGTACTGCAAGGCAGGCAGGAGATCAGAAGGGAGTTTGTTATTCTCCTTATTGACCACTGTGGGGTTCCCTCAGTCTCAGTAATTCTGAGACACCGTGTCTGGTGGGGCGGGGCGGGCTGGTCTTTATCCTTCACGAAGAAGTCCCCTGCTTGACTTGCGCTGCTCTTGCAGTGAGGAAGAAAGCTTGTCAAAGAAGAAGCCGCGTCTCTTCTGCGATATCTGCGGCTGCTTCGACCTCCACGACACTGAAGACTGCCCGACGCAGGCGCAGATGCTGGAGGAGCCGCCGCACTCGGCGCACCACGGCAGCAGGAGGGAGGAGCGTCCCTACTGTGACACCTGCGAGATGTTCGGGCACTGGACGGCAGACTGCAACGACGACGAGACCTTCTGATGCCACCAGCGGCCGGAGGAGGGACTGTCTGTACCCTGAGGGGACGATTTATACCACCAGCATTTTTGCGTGCTGAATGTCAGGACAAGGGACAGCGTTTCTTGGCCCCCTCGCTCCCCTTCCCCTTGCCCATCCACTCCGGAGTCAGTACCTTGATAAGTATTTTGCTCCTCTGCTAATAAATGCCCCATCCCCCCCTTAATAAACTTAAGTGAACTATAAACAAATGATTTAACAAATTACTTTATGCTGTTTCTTCCCAGGTTCTGGGTTTGTTCCCACTCTTAACAAGAAATGCCCCTGTGCTGTTGCATTTGTTGATGGGAAAACTTGTATAGGAATGAAGCACTATAGTGATATTAAAGCTTATTTAAAGACCTTAAAATGATGCTGTTAATTTTCATATTTGCACTAAACCATTTTAAAGCTGAATTTGTAAATTTAGAATTTTTTTTAAAGCTTTTTGGTTTGTTTTTTTGACACTGGACTGGGTTGAGAAATGTTTCATCTTTACCTTCATTGATTGTGATTTCCTGGGGTTGTGGCTTGACACAAAGAAGCAGGTAAGACCCATGAGCTGCTGTGGGGGGTGTTTGTCAGGAACCTGAGGTGCCGTTTTTTTCCTTTTTCCTTTCAGCTTCTCCATAGTGTGTGTGTGTGTATATATGCATATATATATATTAAAGTTATATTTTGGAAAAAAAAAACAGGTTTTCTCTGGTGTGTCTCAGCTCTGTTCCAGGGACAGATGCTCTGGGTGAACGGACACGCGTTCCCAGCTCCCGGGGTGTCATTCCCAGCTCCAGGGGTGTCGTTCCCAGCTCCAGGGGTGTCATTCCCGGCTCCAGGGGTGTCGTTCCCAGCTCCAGGGGTGTCGTTCCCAGCTCCGGGGCTGTCGTTCCCAGCTCCAGGGTGTCGTTCCCGGCTCCAGGGTGTCGTTCCCAGCTCTAGGGGTGTCGTTCCCAGCTCCAGGGGTGTCGTTCCCAGCTCCGGGGCTGTCGTTCCCAGCTCCAGGGTGTCGTTCCCGGCTCCAGGGTGTCGTTCCCAGCTCTAGGGGTGTCGTTCCCAGCTCCAGGGGTGTCGTTCCCAGCTCCGGGGCTGTTGTTCCCGGCTCCAGGGTGTCGTTCCCAGCTCCAGGGCTGTTGTTCCCAGCTCCGGGGCTGCTGTTCCCAGGTTCAGGGTGTTCCCGGGCTCGGGCCGGGGAGTGGGTCTCGCGCCCGCCAGGGGGCGCAGCTCCGCCGCGCGCTTGAGGGGCTCCGCCCTGGCAGTCACATGGCAAGTCAGGTGACCGGCGGCGGTCACGTGAGGAGACCATGGCGGCGCATCTCAGCTCCGGGCGCGTCAACCTGACGGCGCTTCGGGAGGCCGGGCGGAGGGAGCTGCGCGAGTTCCTGGACAAGTGCGCGGGATCCAAGGTGAAGGGGCGTCGGGGAGGGACGGGACGGGACGGGACGGAGACACGGCACCGGCCCTGCCCGAGCATCATGACTCTCCCTTCCGCAGGCCATCGTGTGGGACGAGTACCTGACCGGGCCCTTCGGGCTCATCGCCCAGTACTCGCTGCTGAAGGTAAAGGCGGTGCTGGCCCCTCGGTGTTCCCTCGGCAGTCCCTTAGTGTTGCCTTGGGGTCTGGTCCCTCGGGGGTCCCTCGGCCGTCCTGCGGCTGCCGCCCCTGCCCCCGGCGCTCCCCAGGGGTGCTCAGCTGGTGAACGCGCGTAGGAGCATGAGGTGGAGAAGATGTTCACGCTGAAGCCGGGCCGCCTGCCACCGGCAGATGTCAAGAACATCATCTTCTTCGTCAGGCCCAAGCTGGAGCTGATGGACATCATCACAGACAACGTGCTGAGGTACAGTGGGTGCTAGGGGAGGGGGGAAGAGTGGTGGCTGCAAGGGTTGAATTGGGGCTCGTGGGAGCCAGCCGGGGGTCCCACCAGAGGAGACAGATTTGGCCTGACACTGGTTTGTCACGTCTGGGCTCAAAATGGGGAACTAGACACCAGAATTGCACAGCCACTCCTGGGGTGCAAGACATGCTAGGAAGAAGGGAGATGGGGGGGTTCACTTTGGCTGGTGATGCAGAGGGTGCACTCCTTGGTATGAGGAGATACATTCACCCTAATTAGCTGAAATGAGTTGTGTTCTGATTGACCTGTCTTTTGAAAACCAAGTCTCCCTCCCCTGGTCTCAGAGACTGTGCCTGGGTTAAAAAAAAATACAACAACCTGGAAACCACACAGGTTGGAATGGCAGTTGCCAGTAATGACCAGCACAGCATTCCTTTTCCCTGTGAATTCAGTGTTCATGGGCTGTGCCATCACCTGTGCAGCTGAGTTACCCTTTGCTGTGCTCCTGACTGTGACCCTTCCAGGGAAGACCGAGGCCGCTCCCCACAGCGGGATTTCCACATCCTCTTCGTGCCGCGCCGCAGCCTGCTCTGTGAGCAGTGGCTGAAGGAGCAGGGTGTGCTGGGGTCCTTCATCCACCGTGAGCAGTACAGCCTGGATCTGATACCCTTTGATGGAGACCTGCTCTCCATGGAGTCCGAGAGTGCCTTCAAGGTAAGGGCCTCTCTGGTCTTTGAGGGCAAACGCTGTTGTTTGTGTTGGCTGTGGGTGTTGGGTATAGAGGCTCTCAGAGGGTTTGGGAGTGACCTGCAGAGCAAACCTGGCTTGATCCGGAGTGCTGAGCTGAGCCTGCACTTAGTGTGTTTTCTGAAGGCTGAAGGACCAATCACTGCATCAAGCTGCACCTTCTTTCCTCCAGATTTAACAGCTAGTGTTACTTTTGCAAGATGAGTGCTCATGGGGCTTAAAATACTGAGTTTTTAATATATATACTTAAAATACTGAGTTGCTGCCAAGAGCCAGCATAGCCTGTGTCAATATGGAGCTGAAGAGCTGTGTACAATGGTTAATACCACACACACTGTCACCTACCAGCTGTGTGTCCTGTTTTCTCAGAATGCTGTGCCTGGGGACAGAAAGGTGTGAGACTTTGTTTGGCCATCTCTGCCTCATTAAGCGTAGCCTAGTGGACATGTCAGGGCTTGCAATGTCTTGTCAGCAGCTCTGATGAAGTGTTGTATGCTCTGACTGGCCTAATTTGAGGGAGAGGATCTCTGCAGTCTCTTTATACCTCTCTTACTCTTCTCCATGAAACTTGAAGTAGTGTGGGGGGGGTTCAGAAATAATACACTGTTTGGTGTGATAAAATTATTCAAGGCAATAACAGCACAGTTAAGGTCTGTATTTGCCAACAGCCTCGGTTTTTTGGACCACATTCTGCTGGGGGAGCAGCTGTGTTGGATCAACCCCTTCCCTTGGGAATCCTTGTTGTTGTTTAGGAATGTTACCTGGAGAGTGACCAGACAACTCTGTACCATGCGGCAAAGGGGCTGATGACACTCCAGGCTCTCTATGGAACCATCCCACAGATTTTTGGGAAGGGCGAGTGTGCCCGGGTGAGACAAATGTTTCTGTTCTTTGGGACAATGCATCTTGTTCTTTGGGACTGCCTTAAGGAGTATTTGGTTAAATGCACCTGTGGGGTTTCTGCATCCAGCCACTGACTATTCTTGTCATATTGGAATTCTGGGATCAAGGCCACCAGGTCTTTGTCATCTCTGACCAAAAGAACCATATTTGCTGTTCCACAGGAAGACTCCTGTCAGGAGGATTTATCTATTTCACATGCTTTCTGCTCATAGGTGCCCTGTCTTCATGTTTTCAGCAGTTCCTTCAGTGGAGTTTTAATACTTAGCTGCTCTGTTGGTATCAGAAGGGCTGAATGAAGTGGGGGGGTGTGTAACCCACGGTTTGTGCCTTAGCTTCTTCATTTTTTTAACTCACCCCTTTTTCTTCTCTCTGATCAGCCTATGGTTTAAATTGGTACCTTTTGTGAGGGAGTGGCTTGAAGTCAAATCCATCTGTCATGACCTGCACCATAACTAGCCTGACATGTTCTCTTTCCAGCATGTGGCTAACATGATGATCAGGATGAGGCGTGAGTTCCCCGGGAGCCAGAACTCCATCTTTCCTGTCTTTGACACCCTCTTGCTGCTGGACCGCAACGTGGACCTGCTGACACCGCTGGCCACGCAGCTGACGTATGAAGGGCTGATCGACGAGATCTATGGGATCCAGAACAGTGAGTACTGCTGGGCTGGGGGGGTTGCTGTCTGCTGGGGGAGGGGGGGTTCTGCTTCACTACATGATGGTGACAGGGGAGAAGCTGATCTGAACTAAGTGCAGGGATGGGTCAGTCCCAAGGACGAGCCCATCAAGATCAGCTCTGGCTCTCATTTTGCCTAGGAAGGGGAGTTGGATACAGTGCATGGATACTTTGGATGCTGGTGGATGAGTTTGTGCCACACTGAGGGGAACACTTTGTGAGGCTATTCTGAGCACTCTCCTGCTCTGCAGGAGGTAGTCAGAAAAACTCCAGAGAGGCATTTATGGGTTTTAATCCCTCCTGCTGTACTGAAGACTGGCCAGAAGGCTGCCTCCAAAACTCTTTGTAAACAAGGCAGCACTTGGGTGCTGATCACTTGTGTTTGTGTGTGGGTTCCTGGGTGAGCACAGGGAGACCCTCCTTATTTAACACATTTTCCCTAAGTCGTCTGCATGTTTACATTAGCTTTGCTACTCAGAACTGTTTCCAGATCAGGGGACATGTTTCCACAGCCTGCTTGTCTTAACCTCTGATGGTGTAGTTCCAGTTTCCAGTCCTCACAATTTTTTTCTCTGCACTTGGCAGCTTACGTGAAACTGCCTCCTGAGAAGTTTGCCCCGAAGAAGCAGGGTGAGAGTGGGAAAGATCTGCCCACAGAACCCAAGAAGCTCCAGCTGAACTCTGCTGAAGAGCTGTATGCTGAAATCAGAGACAAGAACTTCAATGCTGTGGGGTCAGTGCTGAGCAAGAAAGCCAAGATCATCTCAGCAGCCTTTGAGGTGAGACCTATATATGATCATGCATCCCTTGGGCATTCCAAGTCCCAGTCTGCATTCAGCAGGGCTGTCACTGACAGCTCGAACTCTTGCCATGGAGTAATTCCCCTGCCAGGTAGTCTTCAGAAGCCCTTCTAGTCTGTGCCCCTGCCCTGGGATGAGATCAGCTCCACTTCAACTGTTCTGAGTAGGTGTTGGTTAAATCTCCTCATAAGAATCCTGTAGTACTGCAGCTCCTCTCTTCTCCCCACCCCTCTGTTCTAGGGCTTTTTCTGTCCTCACTTTTAAAAGCTTGTCTTGGAGATAACCTCAATCACATTTCT